AAGCTGCGAACCTGCGTCTTCAGGGGGAAGTGCGGCCCCATCCAACACAGGCTGTAACCCTATGCCCTGTTCGGCCTTGCGACTGACCAGGAGTACCTCTGTCTTGTCTGGATTCAATTTCAATTTGTTCGCCCTCATCCAGACCGTCACAGCGGCCAAGCACCGGTTCAGAACCTGGACAGCCTCCTTAGTAGCAGGTGGAAAGGAGTGACAGAGTTGGACATCATCCGCGTACAGATGACACCGTACCCCGAAACTCCGGATGATCTCCCCCAGCGGCTTCATGTAGATGTTAAACAACATGGGAGACAATATTGAGCCCTGAGGAACCCCACAAGACAATGGTTGTGGGGTTGAACAGGTGTCCCCCAACAACACCTTCTGAGATCGACCCTCCAGGAATGACCGGAGCCACTGCAAAACAGTACCTCCAAGACCCATCCCGCGAGGCGTCCCAGAAGGATACCGTGGTCGACGGTATCGAAGGCCGCTGAGAGGTCCAGCAGCACCAACAGGGACACACTCCCCCTGTCGAGCTCCCGGCGCAGATCATCCACTAAGGCGACCAAGGCTGTCTCGGTACCATGTCCCGGCCTAAAGCCAGACTGTGCCGGGTCTAGATAATCCGTATCTACCAAGAATACCTGGAGTTGTGAGGCCACCACACGTTCCAAGACTTTGCCCAAGAAGGGGAGATTGGAAACTGGCCGATAGTTGTCGAATTTAGTGGGGTCCAGTGATGGTTTTATTTATTGTTGTATTACTGTTGCTATTGTTTTTATTGCTGTGTTGTGGGCTCGGCCTCATGTAACCCACACTGAGTCCCTTGGGGAGATGGTAGCGGGGTACAAATAAAGTATTATTATTATTATTATTATTAGAACTCTAACACTAGAAGGTTTCGACCTAAGAGTGGGATGGCACTCATATCCATAGTTTGGAAGAGACTGGAAGTCATTTTTTCCTCCCTTCCTTTCCCAACTTACCCTAACCCATACCCATATAAAGTAGTAGTAATGAAGAGGGTTTTTTCTTCGCTTATTTCCCCAACAGTTATATTTTCCCACTGGTGGTGGTAGTCCTCACTTTATCCCCTATCTCTTTCCCTTATTCCTTTTTTTCAAAGTTACTGTAAATAATTTATTTTAATCAATAAAAATCATTTTGAAAAAAGGAAAATGTTTTCTGCACAAAAATGTGTTATTTTTGTGCAGAATAAATCCCAACCTGCAATGATTCTAATCATTCTGTGAATTTTCTGAAGAGAGTTTCTTGACACTTGGAAAATGCATTTGTAACAATTTTTATTTATTTTTTTTAAAAAAAATATGTTAATATCCCTACTTTAGATATCTCTTGTTAGCACTGTGTAGAAGGCTGTAGACTTAAACAATTTCTGAATATCTCTTATTATGAAACAATCCAAAATGAAGCAAGAAATAGTGCTAGAAGATGAGACTCTCCGGTCAGGAGATACTTTCTCCTGTCAAACCCGATCCTGGTCCAAAAGGGAGTCATACAAGGGTGCGTACTAGCCCCACTCCTCTTCAACATCTTCTTGCATGATCTCCCTATAGCCCTGGCCCAAGTAGACGGGCATAGTCCCAAGATTGGCCCAAAGCATGTTCCCCTCTTGCTATTTGAGGATGATGCAGCCCTACTATCCCTCTCCCATATGGGTTTAAAAAGACTCCTGCACAAATTTGTTGATTTCTGCGAGATGAATGAACTGCAGGTGAATTATGATAAAACCAAGACCCTGGCTTTTGGGAAAAGCAATAAAAAACAAGTCTGGAAGATAAAGGGCCACTTATTGGGAAAAAGCAGAAGGCAACTACAAGTAACGGTGTGTCTTATGGTGCAACTTGGCTCAAGACAAAAGAATGTTCACTCAGCTGTTCAGATGCTCAGATGTGACCAGAACATCCAAAGCTGTGCAGTGCATACAGTAGGAACATGGAAAGGAAGAAGAATTAATCAAGGGAAATGTATGTTGGATAATAGTGCACTCCAAAGAATTTTGGAAGAAAATAAACCTGTGCTTCATAGATTATAGCAAAGCCTTTAATTGTGCAGATCTTGAAATGCCACCGATTGCTCTAAGGGCAAAAGGCAGTAAATGTAAGAACAGACTATGGAGAAATAAATGGTTCCCACTTGGCAAGGAGGTCAGATAAGGATGCATTTTATCACCATATCTGTTTAACTTTTACACAGTGAAACTTATTTCTAAATAAATGTCAACAAGATAGCAGCCCATGTAAAGGCTATTAGAAACCTTCAAATTATTTCTCCTACCAAGGTTTTAAAACTAGAAGCAACTGTACTTGGAAGGAGGCAGAGCCCAGAACATTATTCATTAATCACTGTTCTTCATCTTCGAATAAATAATTAATGTTACTTGTTACACTTTTAGTTATTTCTTTATTACTTTTAAAAAGCACACATAAAAATGGTCAAAGAATAATGTTTTCAGACTCATAAAAATAATGTTTTCAGACTCATAAATGTAGTTTATTATAAATACACAAAATTGAAAGTTTATCATTGTTTTTAATTGTTTTAATTGTAACTGTGTATTTTAATGTATGTGTTTGGCATCTAATGGTTGCCTGTTGTAAAGCTGCCCTGAGTCCCCCTCCGGGGGTGAGAAGGATAGAGAACAAATGCACAAAATAAAACAGATAAAATAATGTTACTATCGGTAGTCATTCCAAATGTTATTACTGAGAGAGAACACATAAAATCAGTATTTTAAGCAGAAAAACAGGATTTAAGTAATGAATTTACCAAAAAAAGCAACCTCGGCGTATCAAAATCTTAGGTCAGCTGACAAGTAAAATTAAAAGAAATAAATAAAAAGCTGTTTATAACAATATAAATTATTTATATTAAATACAATTATGAGTTTTAACATTTAAAAGATGAAGACAGGGATATTGAGTATACTAAAGGACTAGATCAGGGTGATTCCTATTCATAGTTTCTCCATGAGTTTATTTGTCTGTTTAGGTTATTCCTTAAGTCTCTGTTCTTTATTGTGACACAAATAACCTTTTATCTCTTTAAAAATCAATATCAAGTGCATTTTTGTGTGCATTGTTTCTTAACACAAGTATATTCTGCCTGTTTGGGTATTTTCATCTTATCATACAGCTAAAACTTTGTTGGGAAAAAAACTTTATCTCAGATTATATGAAATGAATATCCTAATGAGAAGGAGAGAAATATTACCAAAGGGCTTTCTTAATTCTAAATGTCTGCTTATAAATATGCAGTCAGGTAATGCTGCTGTAGTATGCTGTCAATCTCTCCATGGCAATGTTCCCAGGCAATTATACTTTCTACAAAACATTGTGTCTTTCTTGGCTGGGAGGGGAAAATTAGGAAAAGTAAATTAGATTTGACTTAACAAAATTGTAGTAAAGGCAGTTAGGTACTTCATTTTTCTTTGGGTCCAATTTCCTTGAGATGTTTAGACTCATTGCAATAACCATGCAATTTATTTTAATTAGTAGAAGGATTATATTTGGCCATTGCAAAATTTGTGGAATGTAAACCTTCAACTGTATTCTTGCCCACAACAAATAGAAAAAAAATGTAAAGATTTATTTTTGTTGAACAGATTCCAATATTTTTTCCAAATTTTTGAGCAGACACTTGAGTCTTTTTGTAGCAGGAAGTGGGGGGAGAGCTTGGATCGGTGTACATCTTGGCACCCCTCCATACTGGGGTGAAAGGGGAATTTTAGGTTTATCTCTGTAGGCTCTATGGCTTAGGGAGGTCCCCAAAATATCTCCCTTAGGGTTTCCCTTGGTGGGTTTGCCTTTCTCCTATGGGGCTTTATGTTCCGCGGGGACGGGGAGTTCCCAGGGATGGCCTTCCAGTAAACAACCGGCCGGGACAGCAAACCATCAATGTGGAGTGCCCCCAGGGTCAGGTGTTTCGCCCAGTAGTTGGCTTGGAAGGTGGTCCCAAAAGATACCTTGCCTCACACCATTACCCATGTCACAGTGCTCTCCCCACAATTAGTCAATTAGCTCAATTAACATTGTCTAATTAGGTCAATAAATGTCCCATTTATTTCTCCACATCTTGTGTCTGATCTCTTTATTTCGCGGTGGGGATTCAATTGGTATTGTCTGAAATAGAAACAACGTTCTAGGCAAAGCTTTCATTTTAATCTCAGAAATTCTCCCCAAAAGGCACAGTTTAAGTTATTTTAATAATCTTTATATATCTTTTAAAATATATTTCTTTGTATTAACATAATTATTATTCAATAACATACAGTTCCAGTGATGGTGTTGTTGGAAGCAGCTGGGGAGGACTAGTTAGACAGAATATGGGGAGCAGGGCCCTTCCAGAAGATCTTAAATTCCTAGGCGGGACATAGAAGGAGATATGTTTGGACAGGTATGCTGGGCCAGTGTCGTATATGTATTCAGGATATAATAGATTGTGATATCAGATGACTGTGGAATTTTGGCTTTTGGTGGCCAACGTAGGGAAGAGCTAATGTGGTAGTGAGTTTGAGTGCTGGACCAAGACAAGGTTCAAATCCCTACTCAGCCATAGGTGAAATTGGGCAAGTCATACTCTCATGTCTCAAAGGAAGGCATAGCTACATTTCTTCTGAATACATCTTGCCAAGAAAACCCTATGCCGGGGCCACTATAAATTGTTCTGATGATTTGCAGCAATATCAAAAACAACAAAATTATGCTAGAATTATCTGGACATAGAGTGTTCATTGAGCCTAATGTATGTGAGTCATGAGTGAAAAATATCTAGTGGTTTTTCTGTGAATGTTTTGCCAGCTTGGAAGTTTTCTGACTTTCAGCTAAGATAATAGAGCTCCCAGAATACAATACAATGCCATTGTTTGAGAAGAAGTTCTCCACATTCTAGAAATTCACTATAGATTATGAGAATCATCACTGTTTATTCACTTCCTTAATGCATCATGTACTAATACTTTCTTTTCCTTTTTTTGTCAGGACCACCTCAGAGAACAGTGTCTCCCAAACATGAACATGAAGATCGGAAGCATGAAAAAGTTGCAGACAAAGGAAGCGAGAGTGGGACTTCCTGCAATGAGTTGTCCACCTCTAGTTGTGACAGCCACTCTGAAGCCAGCACTCCCCAAGAGAATGCTTCTGGCACCCAGCCGTCATCGGGGCACCAGCCAAACACTCTTACATTGGATCGTCCTTCTAAGAAAGCCCCGGTACAGTGGATGCCACCACCAGACAAGCGTAGAAACAGTGAACTTTTTCAAACTCTCATTAGCAAGTCCAGAGAGACAAATCTCTCCAAAAGGAAGGTGTGTGAGAAGCTAAGTGCTGAAGAAGAGATGAAGAAATGTATTCAGGATTTTAAAAAAATCCATATTCCGGATTGTTTTCCTGAACGGAAACGCCCATGGCAGTCTGAACTATTACAAAAATACGGGCTATAGTTTTTAAAGTATTTCATGACATGTCGTTGGTGCATTAGCTGTTTACTATGTTGCCAGTTTCTACTGATGTACTTCTTTCTGGTCTACTCGTTGGAGTGATTCCTGCTGCTTAATTCTCTCTGTGAACTGGATGTTGACTAGAACATGGGTTGACTTTCCCCTCTTTTTTTAAAAAAAGAAATAATAACATCAAAAGAAAGAACTGTGTGTTCTTTTATAATAGTTAAAATTTGCATGATCGAGCCATTTTGGGTTTCAGACTTCTCATCTGTAAAACAGATACATCATCAGATAATGCTTCATTCTAAGATTGTAATAATAGCGGTGATAAAAAATTCAACTGGTTGAAGAAGAATGGGGCCTATGATAACAGAATTAAATGCAAGCACTTTTGAAAAATGTTAATACAATAAAGCAAATATCTGTTTTGCATGAACACAATAGAAACAAGTAGATCACACAAGAACAAGAGGTTCGTCTGCTGCTTGGATAAATATTTTGTTCAATACCAAGACTATAAATGTAAAATGTCTTTGGAATTGAACCTTGTGAGGATTTGTGTGTGGCTGTGTGTTCGTTTTGTAAGGATGGTGTAAATATGCCTTATACTGTTTCATGGTTGCACCAACATTCATCTGTTAATGTTTGCCAGAACTATTTCTGTCAAGTGCAAAACTATCAGCAGATTGTGAAAACTGATGTGATGGTCTGAATTTTTTCTGTTTTCATGTTAGTCAACAAAGATGGAAAAATAAAAATAAAAAGACCTTAATGTATTTGTTAAAGAGGCCTACTGTTAAATGCTCTTGATTTATTACTCTTCTGTTGTTTTTAGCCTCTGTCTTCATCCCCAAGTAGGTTTTAAGAAGAGTTTCTACAGTGTTCTCTGCTACCAAATTGAAAACAACATGTTTCAGCAGAAAATGAATAATGCTTTGAGTGTGAGAGTTTTAATTAAAATGTTCAATAGAGATTCAGTATGATGGAAAAGAACAGTGTTATTGATTACTGCTCAGTATAGTAACGATAAAATCTCAGCCAAAATGCACAAAGACTATTTTAGTTGATAAAAGAAATAATGTTCTGACAACCGATGGAAATTACTGTTAAATACTAGATTTAAGACATCATTAACAGGCACAAGACAATATTATTTACCAGTGCTCAAAACTAATATTTGCTCAGAATGACACATAATTAATCTGATTAAAACTAGGCATGTTTGGGGATTAATAATGGATTTTCAGGGGCTTGTGTTATACTGTTGTACATTATGTTTTTATCTACATTTCAAAACTTTGCTACACTAATTCAATTGCTTTTTTTTTTACAGCAATATGGATATCATTGCTGGTGTAACAAAGGTCACATTTGGGGAAGGCAGGTTGCTTCTACAGGTTTAGAATAATCTCTAGGCATTTATTTCAATTATGTCAGATCACTATCTGGATCTGCATTATTGGATTGATTTTGCAGGGATCCTGGATGAAGTATCAAAGTCATATAATGTTTTTTTCTAATATAATACAGCCAGGGGCGGCTCAACCCATTACGCAAAGTAAGCATTTGCAGTATAGTTGATTTTGCCAGGGGCGCTCTTGAGGCACTCTTGGGGGAAAATAGACCTTGACATATGCGAGTTGTAGTTACTGGGATGTATATTTCACCTACAATCAAAGAGCATTCTGAACACCACCAATGATGGAATTGAATCAAATGTGGCACACGAACAGAAAATATATATCAGTGATTGGTTGGGGAAGGGGGAAAATACTGTTTGCTTACCATTGAAAATTAACTAGGGCCGCCTCTGAATACAGCTGCCATCTTTACACAACTAGGAACTAGCTACCAACATACTAGAATTCCTTATTTGGTCCCAAAATTATTGTGTGGGGCTATTTTGTAAAATGACCACTGGTTTTATTTTTATTTTATTAGCTCCAAATTTAATCATATTGAAGAGTGCACCCAATAAAATCAACAGGGCTGAACTCAAGTCATATTAATTTCAATGACGTATGTCTGAGCCTGGCTCCTACAGTGATTTGTTTCTGACATTTGTGACCCATCTTTCATTACAAAGGTTGACAACAAAGGAAGTATGGTGTACATGCCCCTCATGTGTTTTTACCATTTAAAAGGTAAGCAATTATAAAGCTGACATCTGATGAATATCCTCGATCACATTGCCATTGTTATGTGCCAAACTCTCCTCTGGATGTTTTCCCATTGTAAACACATGCCTTCAGCCTCACTAAGTTTTTGATGTTTCTGTAAGAAAAAGATTTGTGCTAAAGTTGGGCATACTGAAGAACCAGCAATGCCAATAATGCAAACGATGGCCTCAATTGCAACTTCCCATTGGTGGAAAACAATGAAAATCCTAATAGAGGTTGACTGGTGTTGCTGAGTGACCATAATGCCAGGTAACTACTTCTTTCCTGGAAGTACTCATGCTCCTAATGTTTTCTTTAGTTCTGTGGGTAATGCCCTGGTTACTAGGGAAAGGAGTATCTTCAACCATTCTTAGGCGCCATCTACACTACCACATAATGTAGTTTGAAACTGCATTATATAGTCAGTGCAGACTCATATAATGCAGCTCAATGCATTATGAATCTGCACTGCATTACATGGTAGTGCAGATGGGGGTTATATCATAAAACCAGCAAGGTAAGAATTGGTCCTAGTTTAAAGCCTAATGCCAGTAGTCTTTGGTCTCATTTTCCAGGAGGCGTGTCCTTTTTAGTTTGTCGCATCTGAAATAACAAAGAGTCTTGTGGTATATTTAGACTTATTATGGAGTAAACCTTTGTATACTGTAGTCCTTTGCATCAGGGGCCTTAATAAATATTAGTCTTTAAAGTGCCACAAGGCTCTATGTTTTCTTTGTTCTGCCTTCCTCTTCATCCTGGAAAAAAGTGACAAGTGGAGTGCCGCAGGGTTCCGTCCTGGGCCCGGTCCTGTTCAACATCTTTATTACTGACTTAGATGAAGGGCTAGAAGGCATGATCATCAAGTTTGCAGACGACACCAAATTGGGAGGGATAGCCAATACTCCAGAGGACAGGAGCAGAATTCAAAACGATCTTGACAGATTGGAGAGATGGGCCAAAACTAACAAATTGAAGTTCAACAGGGACAAATGCAAGATACTCCACTTTGGTAGGAAAAAAGAAATGCAAAGATACAAAATGGGGGACGATGCCTGGCTCGAGAGCAGTACGTGTGAAAAAGATCTTGGAGTCCTCGTGGACAACAAGTTAACATGAGCCAACAATGTGATGTGGCGGCAAAAAAAGCCAATGGGATTTTGGCCTGCATCAATAGGAGCATAGTGTCTAGATCTAGGGAAGTCATGCTACCCCTCTATTCGCTTTGGTTAGACCACACCTGGAATATTGTGTCCAATTCTGGGCACCACAATTCAAGAGAGATATTGATAAGCTGGAATGTGTCCAGAGGAGGGTGACTAAAATGATCAAGGGTCTGGAGAACAAGCCCTATGAGGAGCGGCTTAAGGAGCTGGGCATGTTTAGCCTGAAGAAGAGAAGGCTGAGAGGAGATATGATAGCCATGTATAAATATGTGAGAGGAAGCCACGGGGAGGAGGAAGCAAGCTTGTTTTCTGCTTCCCTGGAGACTAGGACACAGAACAATGGCTTCAAACTACAAGAAGGAGATTCCATCTGAACATTAGGAAGAACTTCCTGACTGTGAGAGCCGTTCAGCAGTGGAACTCTCTGCCCCGAGTGTGGTGGAGGTTCTTCTTTGGAAGCTTTTAAACAGAGGCTGGATGGCCATCTGTCAGGGGTGATTTGAATGCAATATTCCTGCTTCTTGGCAGGGAGTTGGACTGGATGGCCCATGAGGTCTCTTCCAACTCTTTGATTCTATGATTCCCATTTTTCGTCAGTGTTGCTTTTGTCTGTTTCCTTATTTATAAAAAGTCAGTAATATATTTTAGTGTAGCTTTGTAGTATTCTATCTCTTCCCTTTAAGTTTTCAAAGTGACTTACAACATAAAAATTTTGCACCATATAAAATATGATATAAAGATATATGAACAACACAGCTAAAATGACAGGTGCTGAAACAGGTCTCAGAACATTGATCATTCAATAGTGAGGAAGTGAAACAGAGTAAGGTTTTCTCCAACAGTAGAAGGCCAATTGGAATCCGAGACTCTTAAGATATTAAACAGTAACTTGAATTGTGTCCAAAAGCTAACAACAGTTAGGATGTAGGAACACTGATAACATTCAGTAGAATATAGAAGTATTTGCAATTTCTTCCATCCTTCAGATGAAAACATATGATTCTGACCACATAACTATATCTTATAGAAGTGCTTGTCTGCTTTATTACACCCCTTTTCAAATAGATAATGAAGGAACTCAGGGCCCTAAAGAAGATGAAAAACCTTCCTCTGAATCAAACTGTTGCAACCCATCAATTGGTTAAGAGCAAAGCCTAGGTCCTCTGAAGTAGCAATGCTTGATCTGTTAATCCTTCGCTTTCCAGCAGAGTCTATATTGCTTTGAGCCTTTTGCTGCTAAATCATTTACTAACACACTTTTGGGATATTTCTGGAAGTTTCTGGCATCAATCATCATCGTGGATTTTTTTTAAAAAAATAGGCTAGCAGACAGCTTCCAAATGCCACACGTGTCTCTTTCACCAGCTTTCCTGTCCTGATGAAATTAGGGTGTTTTTGTTCATTTCTGCTCTGGATGCTGCCAAAGAGCAACACAGCACTGAAAAGCATCAGGTTTGCATTTGAAGATGAAACCTGCCCTGTGAGAGCTTGCTGAGGTTTAAAAACCTATTGTCATTGGATACAGTGCTGTAATTTGGTTCTCACTAAAATTCACACCCACAAAAGCTGTTTGACGTGAAAGCCTTTTCTTTTATGTTGCTTGTCTCTGGTAAAGAGCCTCCCAAGGCTCAGAGGCAGTGCCCAGCTCTTGCCAAGTCTGAGAATATGCTAAGCTCAGAACCAGAAAATTGTTTGCATAATTAAGGAATTTTTTTATTTAAAAAACCAAAACATTCAGCTTCCTGTTTATATGGAAAGCAATTATACATTCCAAGCATTAGTGTCCTGCTATTTATCCATACTGTGTTGCTATCACTATCTTCTAGTTCACATTTGGAGCCCCCCGGTGCAGGCCCGTAGCCAGGATTTCGTTTCGGGGGGGGGGGGCTGAATTTTTTTCAGGGGGGGGTTGGGGGGGGCTGAGTTTTGCGGGGGGCTGAGTCTGAGTGAAAGAGGGTCTAGCCTAGCAAACCTTTTGTATCATTACCCCAATACCCCCATGCATATGGGATATATTGAGTATGGTGATCAGATCATGATATGAATAAACATAACAGTTTAAATAATGCACCAGTAAGGCCTTTTCGCGAACCACCCTGAGAATTTCAGGGGGGGCTGAAGCCCCTCAAGCCCCCCCCCCCCCCCCCGGCTACATGCCTGCCCCAGTGGCACAGTGGGTTAAACCCCTGTGCCAGCAGGACTGAAGACTGACAGATTGCAGGTTCAAATCCAGGGAGAGCGTGGATGAGCTCCCTCTATCAGCTCCAGCTCCTCATGCGGGGACATGAGTGAAGCCTCCTACAAGGATGGTAAAAACTAGGCCTGGGTAACAACGGAAAAATTTGTTTCTAAACTCGTTTCATTTTTAGGGGGTCCATTGCGTTTCGATTTTTAAAAGAATTCCGAATTTTTCTTTAAAAAAAATTCGTTATTTAGGAAATTTTGTAAATTTCGAATTGATTCGTT